TTGAATGGTTCTTTTATCCTCTGTGCCTGGCAATTTCAGTACCTAACAATTTGCGATTCCTAATCTGTTTCTACTGACACTTGTGACGGATTGCTTATTGTATGTTTGTTATTGATTGTGTGCTCGTACTTGATCAAATCTGTAGGAATGCTGAAAGGCCTGAAGTGTAGGTGATTATTTCCTGAAGTGATCCAGTATGCTTCTGCTGAGTGTCAAGGGGCACTGGTGGCCCTTTAATGTCTTGATCTGGGTATTTTCTGACCATTTAGGGCAAGTTAAGGTATATCCTCAGAGTCACTCAGAAGGGCAGGCCCATGATTATACAGTCTCAGAGTAGCCTCTCCACCCAGAGCATGGGCAGAAAAGACCCACATGTAGTCTTATTTTGCCTGCATGTAGTCAGATTTTTGATTCCTACCTGCCCTTTGACTGAAGTTGTAGCCCTCTTAGGGGTTTCGGTCTGATGCAGGCATTTCCATTCCCTGCAGTAAATGGTAAGTTTTACATGGAATAAATGGATTACAATTCATACATTGAATTAGTTCATTAGTATTCTGTCCTAATCTAAGAAAAAAAATGCTGAGGGAACATTTTCTCCTGAGTAGAATATAGCTTTCCAACTAGTGTGTTCTAGATTTGTCAAGATACTTCATCCCTGCAATATTTGGGACCGTCTGAGGCCTCAGGCTGGGTGCATTCAGGGGCCAATTTCTCTTGCATTGTATAGATGATCATTTTCTGTGCGTGCTGGAACTATGCAAAAGGTTAGCATTTTTCTAGATCATTAGTTCTTGGAGTTGCTTTGGAGAAGACTGAATACTATATGTCTCCCTTAAGTTGTCATAATGTTTACAAGCATATTAAAACCTTAAAGAGGCCTTGAAATAAGGAATATTTTCTTATTTGACCATAATACTTTTATTTTTTAATGTTAACAGTCTATAATATTGAAACCAAGATGTTCGTAATTATTGACCCCCTGAAATTTCAGGGTTATATTTGCTGACAAGTGGAGTCAGAGTAAGATATTCTGTGTTGATATTTGAGGGTCAATAAATATGCATTAGCTGCTAACCGAGGTGGCTGTAAAGTGGACGAGCTTATACGAAAACTGCAAGAGATCTTCTTCGCATGGAAGTAGGCTATATGAATCTACTAGAACTAGAATTCTAGCCAGTGTTTGTAAGTGTGTATTCCAGGCACTGTGATAAATATTTCACAATGTCTTTTCATTGCCCTCGGGGGAAAAAAAAAATCAATTCTTTACCCTGGCCTTCAAGGACCCTCATGTCTACTAGCTCTGTGCTAACAACGCAGAGCCTGCTTGGGGTTCTCTCACTGTGTCCTCCTCCAACCTCATCTTTTACACCTGTCACTCTGGGCACCAGCCACATTGGCCTTTCAGTGGGCTAGAGATATTCCTACTGGAAAGCCTTTGTCTTGTTCTTTGCTTTGCCTAGAACATTCCAGCTGCCCTTTTTGGCCTCGAGGTCTTAACTCACCAATGCCTTTCCTCACCACTGAACATGAGTCGACGACTCCTGTCTCAGTTTGACTCTGCCTTCACATGGTCTAACTTGGGTTCCTCCTGCCAGTAAACTGTCACCTTGGTGAAAAGCATGCATCTTGTCTGCTCTGTACACCACTCGATCTGTAGCCTCTGCTACTGTGAGACACACAGATGCTTGATAGTTGTTGAATGTTGAATGAGTAAGAGAAGAAACTCATAATTTGCCCAGTGTTGACAGCTAATAAATGGCAAAACCAGGACTCAGACTTAGGGCTATCAGAATTCCGAGCTCTTGGCACCACACTTCATTCAGACAAGGACTCTCCCATTCCTTATCACCTTATCAGTTCAGAATGTTGCTAGACTTGACTTTTGGCATCACCTTCAAAATTTTATTCTTTTGAAATCCAGTGGTAGCCGATTTTGGTTCTTTGAAAATACATTTGATTTTTTTTTATAAGTTTATTTATTTTGAGAAAGAGAGCACACACAATTGGGAGAAGGGCAGAGAAAGGGAGAGAGAGAATCCCAAGCAGGCTCTGTGCTGTCA